AAAAGAAAAGAAAAGAAAAAGTCCTTTTCTAAGCCTCAAATCCCTCATCCATCCAAGGGACCAATAACAGCTCCTTCACCTCCCAGGCTGGATTGAAGAGGGTGCTTTAAGCCGTTGTTTCACTAAGTAATTGACTGGCTCACCCTTCACCCTATCCTGGAAGGATATGAAGCCACTGTTGTAATCTCAGGGATGGGCTCACCCACCACCCCCATGCTCTTGGTCCACCAAAGCTGGGAGGTCGCTGCTGTCAACCCAGGGCTGAGCAAGGAGGGACTTAGGCCCTGGGCTGTCTCCCCCAGCCTCTCACTCATGCCTGCTGTAGGGGAGGAGGGAGTGGCCTCCTTCTACCCTCTAAATTCCTTGGCTGGGCTACACATTAAATTTACATAAGAGAGATTAACAAGAGAAAAACCATGTGTAACTACGACCTATGCATGGGAATCCCACAAAATATGAGACTGGACAAAGGATCAGATGAGTAAAGCTCATATAACATCCTACAAGGGACAGGAAACATTCCTTCAGAAAGGAATAGGGGCTTGGGTCAGGTGTGGTGGTTCACGCCTGCAATCCCAGCACTTTGGGAGGCTGAGGTGGGCGGATCACAAGGTCAGGAGTTCGAGACCAGTCTGGCAAACATGGCAAAACCCCTGCCTCTACTGAAAATGACAAAAATTAGCCAGGTATGGTGGTGTGTGCCTGTTGTCCCAGCTAATTGGGAGGCTGACGCAGGAGAATCGCTTGAACCCAGGAGGCGGAGGATGTGGTGAGCCAATATGGCGCCACTGCACTCCGGCCTGGACAACAGAACGAGACTCCTTCTCAAAACAAACAAAACAAAACAAAACAAAAAACATAAAAAACCCCACAAAAATCAGTTGGGTCTGGTGGCATGTGCCTGTAATCCCGGCTACTTGCGAGGCCGAGGCAGGAGAATTGCTTGAACCTAGGATGCAGAGGTTGCAGTGAGCTGAAATGGCACCACTGCATTGCAGCCTGGACAACAGAGCAAGACTCTGTCTCAAAAAAAAAAAAAAAGAAAAGGAAAAAAGGAATAGAGGCTTGGGATCCTGGGAACACGGTACACAAGTTAAGGGAGAGTGAGGGGAGAAGAGGGTACGGGTGAATGAAGCTTGTCTTCTTATGCAGATAAAATTTTTCAGGTAAGAAAAGTTAGCTCTGAGCAGCCCTCTGCCTGATACTAATACTTTACCAATGGAGATTTTCCTTTTCTGTTTTTGACACAGGGTCTCACTTTGCTTCCCAGGCTGGAGTGCAGTGGTGCAATCATGGATCACTGTAGCCTCCATTTCCCTGGCTCAAGCCATCCTCCCACCTCAGCCTCCCGAGTAGCTGGGACTACAATGTGTGCACCACCACGACTGGCTAATTTTTAAATTTTTTGTAGAGACAGGGGTTTCCCTATGTTGCCCAGGCTGGCCCGAATTCCTGGGCTCAAGCGATCCTGCCACCTCGGCCTCCCAAACTGCTGGGATTGCAGGAGTGAGCCACAGTGCCAAGCCTGGAGATTTTCTTTATATATATAAATCATTTTACAAAAGGACAGCTTTTCAGAGCTACTCCTATGCCTTCAGTTTCTAAGAATAATCCCTTCAAAATATGCTGAAGAAGTATATTTTGGGGTGGCACATGCTGGTCTCCCACAGTCATATTTTGGGTGTGTGTCCTGAGCTCCAACACTGGTCACCTCGCAGTGGTGCTTGGGGTCCCTGGGTGCCTAGAGCTGCAGGTTACCCCTTCTCTCTCTCCCGCTCTCAGCCTTTCTCCCGCTGCTGTTGAAATTCTTCCCTGCGTGAAGGCGGAGCGCTTAGGGGCGCTTAGGACCTTTATATGGTCGTTTTCCTTTGCATAAAAAGAAAACTTGTTTTGTAGAAGGGCAAGGTGCAGCTTCCAGAGGCACCTGGGATGATGCCCCTCTAGCAGTAGGCGAGCTTGGGGGTGTGGGCGGCGGGGGAAGGCGAGGCCCTGGGGGACCTGTTGTTTTTCCTGTTGTAAGTGAAAAGGAAACAAAGTGGGAAGTGGAGTGTGCGGGCTGGCGGCAGGCG